CTCCTTCTCACCTCTGCTCTGTTTCCTTCATGAGGCAATTAACACCCGGGTATCTGTCTGACAAAACAACGCATAACTCAGGACTTCCTCTCTTCACAATGTGATGTGATCAGACGCTAATAGAATTCCAATATGGATCTGATTGGATGGGATGCACGTTGCCCTTGATGTCTATAGCTCATCGTCGGAAAAAAAATTAGGGGAGTTTGCTGAGGGCAATTTGTCCTTGAAATTCTATTTAATATAGAATTAAATGGACGGAATTCTTCATTTCCAATGTGGAGCTGGGTTTAGGGTAGACTTTTGTGCAAAATCGGGTTTAACAAAGGAGCTTTAATAGACCGAGGTCCAAGTTTTCACTGAAATAAAATGATTTTAGGACCAGGATCAGGTTCAAGTGAAACAGTGGAATATGGGCAAATAAGTTTAACATAGTGCCGCACAATATATGTGTTAAGGCTTTGTTGCAGTGTAGGCCTACATGCAGGTAGGGCATGACACAATCACACACCCGCTAGTGCCGCTACACATGCATGTAGGCCCCCAAACTCTAACTCTAGACCCCAAATTAAAAAATGTTAATAAAGATGAAGGATGAATTAAAGTTCACTGGACATACCAGGAGATTTAATGATTATAGTTTCTAAATACTTAGATAATACCATTACTTTCAACCCTGCCTGCACCCACCCACCCCCCCCCCCCTCCAAAAAAAACACACAACAACAACAGAGTTTTATGCTGCATGTACATGTACACATGTGTGTAATTCCAATTGTAACATGAACATTTATAGATTTTTGTTTTAGTTGATTGAATTTGTGTCTGGCTTTCCTTTGAACCACAGTCTGGCAAGTAAAGATTTGTTTCATTTCTGTACCACAGAACCGTAAAGAGGCTCATTATGAAAAAATATATTATTAATGTGTAGTCTGTGGGAATACTGTTAAAGATATAACATGGATTAGAGATTTACATGTAGGAGCTCTTGAAAGTATGATTCTGTTGCTTCAATCTTCACTGAAATTGTTACACATGTTTATGCAGATTCCAATTCCATTCAGGTTAGACAAGAGTTTTGGGCACAGCCTCCATTGAGCATGTTTGTACAATGTACCGGTTCATACTATGTAGCTACACCCATGTACACATCCTCTTTGAATATTTTGACATTGACAGTTCAATGAACTATCCTAAGATAATTTTTTATGTAGTACTTGTAATAGGAGAATAAGATACCGTAGGTATCTTACCGTAAGATACCGTAGCTGCAGGTACCGTGCAAATAAATCATCTGTCAACAGTCAAAAGGGAGATACCCCTGTGTTAATGTTATGAGTTAATGCCCTTCTAGCTCCAAACAGATGTATGTAGGCCTATTTATGCATGAAACAAGGGCTGACCACAGTAATTAGAAATGCTATTATCAAAGAGTTTTGCTTTTGGTCATATGAGCATTGTAGGTTTTAAGAGTGCACATGTAGGCCTCTATATTTGTAGGCAACTAGGCATCCATTTCTTCTGTAGCTGCGCTGTAATAGTTCTCGCATCAAGTCCTTCTTCTGAATCACAAAAACAAATATTTATGCATTGTATGCCTGTACGTATCGTTGAACATAAAAAACTAATGTAGTTAGTTGTCTGTTTAGGGCCAGAAAGACGTTAACTCATATACTTTAACACAGAGTTGATGTCGGTAACGCCCTTCTAGCTGCGAACAGATGATAATCACATAAAAAACATGTACGTGTATGTTATGATGTTATACATGCCACCTTTGAAAGCAAGTTGGATGTCAATTTTGAAAACACATGGAAATCTCACACATAATCTTGTGCAACATGACAGAAGGCACCACTAACCATACCTAACCAGAAGGCCTGTCCTCATCAGCTTGAGATTGCCAAATAGCCCGCTATTTCTGATTTGGGAAATAATCCTGAAGTTACAACTTGCGTCTTCATCAGCTCGAAACTTGAAACTGGAGCTCGAGAAATTAGCTCAAGATATTTTGCTCAGCGTTCACGCATAGTGCGAGTCTTCGAGCTGGTGAAGACGCACTGGGCAAATAGCGGGATATTTTGCCAAATAGTGGGATATTTTACAAACTAGCCCAACATATCTTGGGATGGTTATCTTAACCAAATATCCCGCTAATTGCAACTTCAGGCTGATGAAGAAGCAAATTAACTGGATAATTTGCGATCGGGATAGTTCAAATAGCAGGATATTAAATCTCGAGCTGATGAAGACAGGCCTAGTGTGATTCATGTGTCAAGATTACAGCTGTCTTCAATTAATAATCATCTTACACGTTCTGATTTACAAATGCTTGTCCTTGATGATTGGGATGCTTCACATTGCAACGAGCTATTAATACAAGAGCCATGTTCACACGACAGTAGCTGCGTTTACACTGCAAGCAAAAATCATAAATTTTTCTCACATTCCGGTGTTTCGTTAATAGTTGCATTGCATAGCATCTACATGTACCGGCAAACATATCAAAAATACAAAATCGAAACATCCACCTTCGGAGTGTTTTTTTTCAAGTGCCTGTTGAAATTTCACTGATTATTGCAGTGAAATCGAAACTTTGGTACATTCCTGTTTTTTCATCAAGTGATTCTACTCGCTTCTGTGTGATCGCTCGCAGAGTAGCGACAAGTCGCGCCTGGGTACTACCTACCAAAAAACAGTATGAGCAAACACAGACAGGTTTTTATGGGTTTTTCCATTAGTGTATGAAAATGGCAGTCCAAAAAATTGATGATTTTTTTTTCTTCAAATTGGTGTCTGGATGTGTATATGGGCCTAGTACAGTGTGTAAACTTAAAGTTTATGCTATGGTCACAAATGTTCAGACGAACGATAATTTTGTACGAATCTCCCTGTTTTTCCATTGTCTTCCCAAATTTCCACTGTCTGAACATCGTTCGTACGGCGTTTGTAGCAGTTCATAATGGCATTTGTGACCGAGGCTTTAGTTGTGATTTTAAGCTTTGAGGTTACTGAAATATGGCAGTCAAAACAAATAAAACAGGGGCAAAGTTTGCCAGAGGTTTAACCAACACACATGTACTGTACGTAGTACAAAAGCTCTTCACTGGAAGAATGAGGGTAGCTCCTTCCGCCCCGCCCCCCGCCCCCCAAACCCCCAACCCCCAACCCCCAACCCCCAACCCCCAACCCCATCCTTCGATTATTCTCTTCACTCTTACACTTTCATATTTTCAATATTGGTATTTGGTAACCCTGCCACAAATGTAGGCCTATAGTATCTTTTTATATTTGATATTGTTTGATGGCTATCATTTGTTATCCCCCTCATGATAGCCACATGCACAGTTGCACATGTTCATCACATGTTAAACTCCCACACCGCGCGCCCCCCCAATGCTATATCATGTTTGTCAAAAATGTAATGCTGTACTGGTAGGTGGGTATGGTGCCTGGCACAAATATGTACCGGTAAACACACATACCACAAAGTCCACTATTTTTAAAAACTCAAATGGCTCCTGTGGCTGTGCTCAGCTATCTCTCTCTCCCCCCCCCCCCATGTTTACACATGTTTACACATGGAAATTATTGAACACAGTAAACTCACATCAGCCTTAAAAAAAAGACCGCTTTTCAGCAACTCGGGTTCTTATTTTGCTTTGACAAGCAATTGTTTTTATTTTATTTTTCCCGGGGGGAGGGGTGGTTTCTGTTTGTTTGCTTGCTTTTAGGTTGTCATACAGGTACCGGTATGTGAACAAAGCTGTATTGCTATAACCATGCAGTAGGATGTATAACTGTAACTCAAGTTCAAGTTAAAAGGACCTCTGCAAATCAATCGATAACACCTGCTTCACTTCTTGTCGAGGCAGGAAAATAGCACATGTTACCAAAATACCAAGATATATACCTCATACTAAAGGCTCGTTCACATATAACGCAGTAAAATCACTGCAGATAACAGGTGTTGTGGTCCAGAGGGAACATTCTTAATGTTACCTACATGTGACGTTTCCTAACACTTCAAAACGTTAGATACAGTGTACATGTATATAATTAACGTTTTGAAAACGTCAGAAACGTTAGGGGGTAGTTTATTTTGACTCGTAATGTACCATGTATATGTAGTTCAGGTTTTGTGTCCTGCATCAGCACTATTGTCCTTTGGCAAGTCATTAATCTATATTTGCCACTCTCCACCCAGGTGAAGCAGATGGTTACCTGTAGGAATTTATTCATAATGATTTTAGCGCCTTAGGACAACTTGGCTCAATAATGCTTCTTTTATCTAGGTACCTTGAGCAACCCCCGGGATCCATATATGTGCACAATATAAATGTAGCTATTAGTATTACTAAGCTCAGTCTGTAGAGCAGTGGTCTCGTAATCCGGCGACCCAGGTTCGAAACCAGGGCGATGCGCTTGTGCCCTTTGGTAAGGCATTGATCCTCATTACCAGGTCTCTCGGAGAGGACCTTAAGCCGTCGGTCCTCTGGTTGCCCACTAACAAGCATTTATGCTTTTTTAACAGTCCGGTAAAATAACCACCACTACTACTACTATTTTGTAGCAAACAAAAAAAGAACGATAAAAAAAAAAAAACGTCAAAAGTGTAGGTTTGCTGTTTTCCACACATCTTGCTTTACAAGCAAAAATATAACCAAAATTTTTTTTTTTTTTAAATTAGCCCATCGGTCTACTTTTCTTCCTCCTTTCCAACATTCTTTTAAGTAGCACATTAATTGTAATGAAGGTAAAATGCTGCGATCATCTGTGAAGAGTAATATCAGCTATGATTTCATATATATGCCCTACCCCTCCATGCAAACTTCAATCCTATGAAGTAACGCCTTGAGCAAATATCACCCGAGCATCACCTCTCCTTCATGTAAAAATTTCATGTTGAAATCTATACGGCTGACCCTATTATGGCTACTTAATCAAGGGATCAAGACCAACCTAACAAAATTATTTTTGACCTTTACGCTTTCTTTCAGATATCCAGGCTAGTCTGTTAGCTGTGCCCTATTTGCTGGGCTGGTTTGGCTGGAGCAAAGCATCCAACAAGCCCAACACCATCACACCCGCATCTTCATTTCAACAGGGACTTGATATTAAAAGAGGTACATATAATTGCTCATTCTAATTCTTGTAGCAGTTGTGTCATTCTACACCCCTGAGAGTTACATTTCAGTTTCAGTTTCAGTTTCAGTTTCAGTTTATTTTCACATTTCACATGTTGTGTAATACATTATTACATTTGGGCTTACATTTGGCATGTTACATTCTTTTTTATCTTTGTTTTATTTATACAAACAAAGAGGGAGAAATATGATGGAGCCACATGACTAGCACTTGATATCTTGAAACCTCTCACAAAAAGTTTGGAAACTGGCATAATCCCCACTTTGATTTGTATCATTAGAAAGTGTGTTAAGTGATTTAAGTCCTCTTTAAAATGAAACTATATTTGTTATGAGTTTGCTGGAGCAGTACATGTACATCAAAATAAGGGGCGGGGTCGAAAGTGAAAATTTGTAAAATGAACTGGTATGAAAGCACTGGTAAATGCAGAGCATTCTTAATTCTTGGACATGAGAGTATGTTTTTTGTAAACGACAGCTATTGTTCCAACTGGTCATCCATGAATGCAAAAATTAAAAGAATCTCAAAATGAAATTCATTCACTAATGGTGACATGTCAGGCAAGATTCACTACTGTTTGGTCATCAACTTTCTGAAATACTATGGCTAAGTCAACAACTGTTGAAAATTGCTCGGCAGTAGGGCACATTGAATGTACAATCTATAAACAAGAGCTGTGCTTTTTGCAACTCTTCATCTTTGATCTTGCCCCTTATTTTGATCTACTGAATAATCATAGAAAATTAGAAATGGGGTATCGTTTTTATAAAGAAATAAACCCTATTTGCAAAGATACTACCGGTGAACATAGCAATGATTATGCCATGACTAGAGAGATATAATCAACCATTTTGGCTGTCCCGTAATAATGTACCTATTTAGTTTAGAAATCAAAATAAATTGTTTGGGTTTCATAGAAATGTCAAGTGCTTGTCATTTTACTCCATGCAAAACTGTAAGGAATAGGCCATTTTCATAAAAGTAATCAAATTTAATGCATGCACCTTCTTTTTGAAGTGCCTCGATACAAATCATTTCATTCACCTGTTGCAAATAATGTATTTCAATATTCGGAATGCAAATTGCATATATATTACCTGCTAGGTTGCACAGGCCATAATGTTTTTCCTACCAAGCAACAACTAATGTTTACAATTTGCATTCTCATACAGAAAACGCACAGAGAATATTTGTTATTATGGGCTACACAGAGATGCCAACCAGTACGATTTAATCCTATAGTACGATGATAAGAGTGGAATACGATAATACGATATCACCTCTTAAAATACGATTTATCAAAACAAAACAAAAACAACATAAAAACCACGGAATCGCATAGAAACATGTAAGTAAACCCCCGCAACCCCAACAAAAACTTTGCTTTACAATTTTCTTTTAAAATTTAATGAAAGAGCAAACATTTTACTTGACCGTACGTACCAGTATCACATTTTTCTGAAATTTTACTGGCCCGGGGCCAACCGGCCATTGGTAGTGTCGAGTTTTCGTGAAAATCTGATTTTTCTCTCCAAAATCTGATTTTTTAGGATACTCTGTCTGTTTTTTGTGTCAAGAGGTTGGCATCTCTGGCTACATGAAAAATTGCTTTATTATTATTTTATGTTATTAACATATGCATACCATGTTAAGAACCCTCTTTAATTTGACCTCTTGTTGTGCAGGGGGCAGGATGGTTCATTGGTAGAGCAGATGTCTCATAACCGAAAGGTTCCGGGTTCAAAACCAAGTCAAAGTGCCCTTTGGTATAAAGGCATTAATCCTCATTACCAAGTTCCTTGGAGAGGACTTGAAACAGCCAGTCCCCTGTTTGCTTACTTACAACTACAAGCATACAAATACTTTCAGAGCAATCAGGTATTAAACAAACAAACATTTTTTTGTTTCTTTTGCTGTTTTATTGTAGAATTTCCTAGTTCTTCGTTCATACAGGAGTAATCATGCCGCTGTTTGGAAGGTCTGCGAAGAGTCCGACGGAATTGATTTCTTCTGTTAAGACCAACGTCGCCCTCCTAACGGATGCCAAGACATCAGAGAAGAAAAGTGAAAAGGTATGTACTCCTTCTCCTCCTAACTGCCCCCCCTTACTCTCTCTCTCTCTCACACTCTTTCTCGCTCTATCTCTCTTATCCCTCTCTCTCTCTCTTATCCCTCTCTCTAGTCTCCTATCTCTATCTCTCTCTCTCTCTCTCTCTAGTATTCTCTCTCTCCAACTCTTTCTCACCAATACTTCATCTCCTTTTCTCCCTCTTTGATCTACATTTGCCACACTCCACCCAGGTGAAGTAAATGGGTACCTGGTAGGAATTTATTCCTTGAAACGCAGCGCGCGTAACAGCTGCACTGCTAAAGCCAGGGTAATTATGCTGCACTATTGTAGAGCGCTTAGAGACTTCTGTTAAAGTAAGTGTTAGGTGCTATATACATGTAAGCAAGGATAATTATTATTATATACCTCACTTAAGTAATCCAGCCATCTGATTGGTCGAAATTGCATTCATAAACTTCAACTGTTCCTGTAAAATTCCCAGTAACCATGGTTAAAACATTTATATATTTTTAATAACCATGGTTATTAAAAAAATAGGTCAGTCTCCATGGTTACCCCATAGGTTTACATGTTAAAAAATGGTTTGAGCGATCGAGGATACCGTATGTGTGCGAAGGATTGGTCGGTAATTTCAATACAATTGAATCTCGATCGATTTTACCGACAATTTTATCTTGCATTGTTGACATGAAGACGAAAATAAACTTCCAAAAACAAAAAAACAACATCTGCCGATAGATCTTGATCTAAGTTCGTGCCAATATGCATTGCAAAAGTAAAAGAAGGGTGCTTTTGCGAAGCATTCATCACGCCGAAGCCGGTTTCAATCCATTTTAATGTATATATTGTACAAAACTGCCAAGCATGTTAACAGCGCGCGATGGCCGAGTGGTGTAAGGCGTTGGTTGAAGATGCATCACTCATTGTACGCAAGAGTTCGAATCTCACCTTCGACAAAAAAAAAAAGTATTTTTTATTTTTTATTTTTTAGTCTATTTTTTTTTGGCATATAAAAGTATTAATGACTGCTTTAATATTCGAGAAATAGTTGTTTTTACACGCTCTCGGGAAGGTTACAATTGGGCTATTCCCCTCGGCACGCCTCGGGTAATAGCACAATTCTAACCTTCCCTTGAGCGTATAAAAACAACTATTTCTCTCAAAGCAGTCATTAATACTATATTATTCCCTCCTTCCCATTCCTCTCTTATTCAGTCACACATGCACAACCTCTCTCCATAATCCCTCCCCTCTCTTGCTCTCTCCTTCTTTCATTCTCCCTTTTTCACTCTCCCTCTTTCTCTCTCCCTCTTTCACTCTCCCTCTTTCTCTCTCCCTCTTTCTCTCTCCCTCTTTCTCTCTCCCTCTTTCTCTCTCCCTCTTTCTCTCTCCCTCTTTCACTCTTTGACTCTCCCTACTTTGTCTCTCTCACACTCTCATTATTTTCTCTCTCTACTGTTATTTGTAATGATTTCTGGCTTTTACAAGAAAACAAAGTACATAATCTGATTGAATCTGAATCTGTTAAAATTTCATTTATGATTATTGTTTGTAAATTTAATGGCAGGGTAGGGTCAAAGAAAACTTTTGTTCTCATTCTGTTTGGTTATCATCTGCATTTACCACTCAACCCAGGCGAAGTAAAGGGTTACTTGGTAGGAAGCCATGGTATTAGTCGTACTTTGTCGTCACCTTGAGCATGAAATACACATAGTTTCATATATGTCAAGGATATCGATGAGCGCATTAAACTGTTTGTTAGCCCACTTATGATGTCATTAATTATAAAGCAAATGGTGGCCTCCGTGAATGTTCAACTCTTGGCATTTGTATCAGGTTTGTTACTTATTTCTCAACTTTATATTCATATCACAGACCTGTACAAAAATATATATTCATGTTTTGAAGCTCGTGCCAATAATGCACTGCACTCGGTCAAGCCACAATGAGCTTGACAATGAACTCGAGTCTTGTGCTTAATCCGATTGTGAATCAACCTGCAAATATGACTTATTTGTATACCGGTACTGTTCTTTAATTCTGTAGTACCAGTGATCTCTTTAATCATTTCATTTCTTGACAGGCTACTGAGGAGATTGGGAAGACCTTGTCACAGGTTAAAAACAGTCTGTATGGGGTCGACGGACAAGAGCCACAGGCGGAGGTCGTGAGCCAGATTGCAAGTGGTCTCTGTGAACACTTGCACAATCTCATCCACTGCATGCCAAAACTAGAATTCGAGGTTTGTGTTCTTCTTTGAATAATTCATGGTCTTTGTGGAGGTGTTGTGGACTAGTGGATAAATTAAAGTCGTTGGACTGTGGATCACAGGGTCCGCGGTTCGAGCTAATTTCCTATGGCAAGATATTAATCTACATTTGCCACTCTCCACCCAGGTGTTAAATGGGTACCGGTAGGAAGGAATTCCTTGAATGCTGTGAGCGCCGAAATCGGCTGCCTAGCAGAGCCGGGTAATAGTTGGAGCGCCTTGAGCACCATGCATGGTAGATATGTGCGCTATATAAATATCCAATATTATTTGTAAAACGCTGTTGACGAAGTGCTGTACAATAATGACAACAATACTAGAAACTTGTACTAAAAATAATAATAATAAAAATGATAGTGGATTCTTGTATAGTGCTCATGTCTGTCAAACTTGACACTCCTGGCACTCCACAATTGTACAGAAAATACATAAACAATCAATTATATTTATGACAGCTTAATATTATTAAACATAGATCAAATTATGGTACTATACATAGGATAATAGGGTTGTTTATAACCTGAGGACTTGAGTTACAAAGACATAAATCTTTAACACTACCGAGACCTACACCAAAAATCATAAAGTCTCCTATTTATTTTACTAAGAATTTCATTTTCTACTTACAACCCCCATGAATTGCTTGCATCTTTAAAGGGAAATCCAGGCTACCCAAATAGACGACTACTCTATAAAACGAAAGCATACAAATCAGAAGGGCAAACTGAAGAAAGTTTCCTTTAAATCTGACTAAATATAAGAAAGTTATTAATTTTTGAAAGTTGTAATCACTATACCTGTGGGCATTTCAAATTGGCTGAAGCGGAAATGTCAATGTGATGTAGTGCCGGGCTACTTTCCCCATTTGTTCCTACATATAAAATGACTACTAGTAGATTCTAAATTTCCTAAATTCATGGCTAAGGAGGGTCTATTCTTTTTAGAGGACCTATGGTAATATGCTATCTATAATATATTTTGAGTAGTGCCCCAAGGGAGAAGGAACTTATAAGAAAAACAGAAATTTGTGATATTTTTGTACACGGCTAATGGGAGAGTTATCCACGTCCCACGTCACAATCCACTAACCAAACTACCAATTTGAGATTTGCATAGACTTAGTGATCTCATATTTCAAACATTCATAACTTCCCTACTATTGGTCCGATTCATTTCAAACTTTTGCCATTCTGTTTCTGTTATTTTTCTGCTGTCATACAAATCTACTTATTACAAGAGTTGGATTGCCCTTTAAGGTTCCCTTTTACAGTCTCGTAAATCATATTGCATTTGTACATTTTTTAGCTTTCATTATAAATCTAGTTGTGTATTAGTTTTTATGCATGGGATTGTGAATGATATGAGTAGCAATTATCTTGAATATATTTTCATTTATTACAGGCCAAGAAAGATTTGGTCCAGATCTTCAACAACATCCTCCGTCGTCAGTTCGGTGCTAGGTCTCCGACCGTAGATCACATCAGCGCTAATCCTCTCATCCTTGAAAGTCTGGTATTAGGGTAAGTGATGCATTGTTCAGTCCTGATAATTACCTGATTTTTTTTTCTTCCTGTTTTTACCCCTATTTTCCTGATATTTCCCTTATCTTCCCTATTTTTCCCCAATTTTCTTACTGAAAAGGGGGAAAATGTTAGATGCCATTTTTTGTTCTTTTCTGAATGCTTTTGTTGTTGTTGTTATACTTAAGGGGGGAGGAGGGGTTGGGGGAAAGTGCTCACTATCACCCCTGATTGTTCAGATATGACACTGTAAACTAAGGCTGTGCACAACAGTGTAATGAGGTACCCGAGTACACTCCCAGGCTTACAAGCGAATACTCGAATATTCGGACGAGAGGAGGAGGAGGAGGGGAGGGGGAGGAGGAGGAGGAGGAGGGGAGGGGGAGGAGGAGGAGAGGAGGAGGAGGGGGAGGAGGAGGAGGGGGAGGAGGAGGAGGAGGAGGAGGAGGAGGAGGAGGAGGAGGAGGAGGAGGAGGAGGAGGAGGGGGAGGAGGAGGAGGAGAAGGATTCATCATAATCACATTCACAATGATAACGGTAGTAATATTGGTCATGCTGCTGATTATAATGATATTGATAATGATGATGATTATAATGATGATGATAATGATATTGATGATGATGATGTCTTTATACACAGGTATGAAAGTCCTGACTTTGCATTGAACTGTGGCCTAATACTACGAGAATGCATACGTTATGAGCCTCTGGCCAAGATCATCTTGAATGCCAATTACTTTTACAAGTTTTTCACATACGTGGAGATGTCAACGTTTGATGTCGCATCAGATGCCTTTTCCTCCTTTAAGGTAAAAATGGCTTTTTTTATTATCTGGGTGGGGTAAAGCAAACTGAATCACTGTGACTCCTGTCTTCCCTTATTGGGGATGTGCAGGTGGACCAATACACCAGACCAGGGACCCATTTCACAAAGCCTTGTTTTCAATGACAAATGACAAAAATCAATGACAAATCTGCTGATAACCAATCAGAAGCAAGGAATTCAGTAGCTCATAACAAAAACTGTCATTTGTCACTGATGACAAGTTTTGTGAAACACCCCCCAGGGCTCAGTCTAATAAAGAGTTGCGATTGATCCAAATCAATCGCAAGTCCTTCAGTCAGTCACTAGTTTGCAGTGTCCTATCTCTTATGTACATAATTGCGATTGATATCAATTGCAAATAAGTTAATATCAACTCGTTATATTAAGACATGGCCTATGTCCCCCCCCCCCCCCTACTCTTATATGAATATTGCAGGGCGTTCTCAACGTGTAAAGGTGGTTACTGTTCTCTGCACTGGGCTTCCAATTAATGTCATATCCGTGTTCAGTCATTCAATAAAATTACTACCCATGTACATTCTTGTTTTCAGAGACATTGCATTTTATTAGAATAATATAGGATGGAGAAAGAAAGAAAAAAAGTGCTATTGTTGCCAATTTGAAGAAAGATAAGTGATAAATTTAAGCCTCAAAAATTGCTGTCCTGAAAAGGTTCTATAAAGCACATGGAGATAGTTTATTGGTAACAATTCTACAAGCGCCAATAAATCAGCAAGCAGATGTTGTACATCAGGGCTGCGTCTCACGAAACCGTCATAAGTACAAGTTTAGCGACATCCCATTGAAATTTGTGTATTAAGTTTAACACGCGCTTCAATGGGATGTCGCTGAACTTGTACTTATGACGGTTTCGTGAGACCCGGTCCTGTATATCCATATTTTGGTTGTCTTGCAGATCCTTTTTACCAAAACTCTGTTTGATATAAAATGCATGAAATGTGGTTTGAAAATTTGCTTCTTTTTCCATGGATAACTGAGTAATCATCTGTGTATAATTTGAAACTGAGAAAGCAAGCATTGACCTATCATCTGTTTCAATGATTTGAGGGTTTTAAATCTTTTTTCTTTGCAGGAACTATTAACAAAACACAAATTAGTAGCTGCCGACTTTTTAGAGAAGAACTACGATTCAGTGTTTGACAAGTACAAGGTGCTTCTCAACTCTGATAACTATGTGACAAGGAGACAGTCACTCAAAGTAAGTTAGCACTTGAGACATTTCTATAGGCCTGTCTTCATCAGCTCGAGTTTGACAAATGACCCGCTATTCATACTATCCCGATCGCAAATTAACCAGTTAATTTGCGTCTTCATCAGCCCGCAGTTGCAATAGTGGGATATTTGGTCGAGAAAATATCCAGAGAAATGTTGGTCTTGTTTCCAAAATATCCTGTTATTTTGGGAATAGCGGCCTAATTTGCGCCCGTCCGAGCTAGTTTGTGATGAGCGTATCGGTCTGGTGAAGATGCAATTTCAAGCTTCGGGATAATATCCAGAGTCTGAAAATAGCGGGTTATTTGGCAAACTCGAGCTGATGAAGACAGGCCTGATGTTCTCTCTCTTTCTCGTCAGATGGTGCCCATAGGCACTGCTGTGGCCTTCACTAAAGCTCGCCATCTTCCTCTATTTGTAGCCAAATTTGTAGCTCTTGCCAACTGCCATATTATCGTTGATATATATGAGATATCTGTAAACCATTCACATTCTGCCGGCAAGTGAATAAGTCTGATATCCTCTGGAAATGGTGCAATATATCAAAAAAAAATCTTCATCGTCATTACTTCATGTATTATTATTAATATCAAAATAATTAATGTAATGATATATTCATTCAAAATCTGTCTGGGAGCCTTGGCTGAATAATGAATTGTACAATTTTTTACAATTAAAAAAAATGAATGAAACAATACATAGCAATACTTTACCAAGATATAAGGAATAAAAGAATGATACGCAATTAGGCATGGTAACTGTGAATCATAATTTACATGATTAATATAATCCCATAGACTAATTTTCCCTCTGAAAGTAAAGAATAAGTTAAGGAAGCAGCCACAGAGAAGAGCAAGGAAAAGTTTATATTTGATTTGTTTTGATTTTCTTCTGTATTCATATAAGTACTGGTATACAGTTTTTCAATAACAATATAATTTTTGTTTTAAATAAGTATTTTTCTGACAGTGAATCATAATTAAGCAAATATATATATATATAGCAATTGTTATTTCAAAAACGTATTGATAAACTGTCATAAATACTAAATTTCATCAAACATTATAGAATTCTTTGTGGAAGAAGGACTGTAAGCAGATTGCTTGAAAATAAGACAGCCCCAGACAAAACTCATGAAATAGATTAACACCTTTTTTATTAAGCAGAATGGATAAGTAGTTGAAAATACAAATTATAAGGATGATGATATTGACAATGCAGATGGGGATGATGCTGGTGTGGAAATGATGATGATGGCGATGATGATAATTGGAATGAATGGGTCAAAAATAGAAGGAAAAAAAAAAGGAAATGAAGAGGGAAGACGGATGAAGAGAATGGAGAAACTGAATAAAAAGGATGAATAATAAGTTTGATACTGTTGTTATTTCTGTTATTCATATTATTGTTTCTGATTGTGTTTTTAGCTTCTTGGAGAGCTGTTGCTAGACAGGCACAATTTCACAACGATGACGAGATACATCAGCAACCCAGAGAATCTGAAGCTCATGATGAACATGCTGAAAGATAAGAGCAGGAACATCCAGTTTGAAGCTTTTCATGTATTTAAGGTAAGAACTAATGTCCACTGCAGGGCATTTTTAATTTCAATTTCATTTATTTCCACAGATTCATAAAAGACAGTATAAATTACAATCAAGTATAAAAGAATTACAACAAAAGATGAACCTGCAGAGGGGTGATCAAAAACCACAGAGGTTTATCGGGGATCATCCCCTGCTTAAAATTACAATATCAAAATACAATAGTTTTTTTTTAAATTAAACAATAACACATACAAAAACATATATAGATATTACATGCAAATCTATGTGTGGGGTGAGTAGTGGGCATGAATCTACCTCTGACGCTCTCAACCCAGGTAAAGGAAATGGTAGGAATTAAATGCTTGAATGCTTTCAGCAACTCAAGGACAGCTGGGCTAAAGCTATGTTAAAAATAGTACTTTGTAGTTGATGTTGTTATTAATGTGATACGTACGGTACGTAAACGTAACACCTTTTGATTTGTCGAGATTTTTCTTTATTATTATTATTATTATTTATTTATTATTATTCTGCCATGAATTCGTTTGCAGGACATCTCAAGAATGGATAAAGCCATTGTCATGAAACTTGCCATGATGATATATCCTAGTCCAACTTAGAACTGCGTGACTTTCCAGCAATGCCGGGTCATTGTGCCGTCATGCAGGCACCATTTTGTGAATATTTTTGAAAATCAACTCATGATCATATCTTCATAATAGAAAGTAATTTCTCATTCTATTTCAATTGTGCAGGTATTTGTAGCAAACCCCAACAAGTCCAAACCCATCCTTGATATCCTGTTGAAGAACAAGGAGAAGCTGGTGGAGTTCCTCACCATGTTCCACACGGACAGGACGGAAGACGAGCAATTCAACGACGAGAAGAACTATCTCATAAAGCAGATCAAAGAACTACAGCCTCCTGTGCCCGCTGCATCTTCATAAGGAATATCCCCCCCTCCCACCCCCCACCCCTATCACCCATCACCAAACCTTGGGCTCGGCTCGGCTGTGTGTATCATAAATTAAATTATCATACATGTAGAACTTTTGTGGCAGGCTGTGCTGATGATTTGCTGGAGATTATTTAGATTTTTATTTGTAATGATTTTTTTTTAAAGCCTCACTGCACTACTTATAGCTAATTGCTCCCTCTATACAGCCGACAATGCTTACAAAGTGGTACCCGTTGATCCCCCATGATGCCCTTTTTCTTATGTTAATTGAGAGCTGATTTTGATGAGATAACCACCTGCTAGTGACCATGCAGGGACGTCTAATCCCTCCATGCCAAGCTAGTGTAGAGGGCCTTTAAAGGTTGGGAGTTCAGAAGTCTGAGGACAAAGTCATCACAATTTTGTTGGGGTATCTTCCTATTTTTAATATATCTAGCAAACGGAAATGTTGCACAGTTAGTTTGTATCTAACTAGCTGCAGAATTACAAAGAAGTCCACAGTTAGCAACATGCATCACCAATAATGTACATTACACAATGTTTTGATTCCATTTGTAATACAAGGCTTTTGCAAGGTATATATATTAAACTCCTTAAAAGTCAATGTAGGTGTACCAATTCACCTGAAAAATAATTTGTGTATAGACAGAATAATCAATCTCAAAAAAGTTTAACCTGGCATCATGTAGGTAAACGGTTTAAGGAGTATGATGAAAATATAGGATAACACATAACATTGCGTATAGTGCATACTGCGTATGCAAGAGCGTATACGTGTGTAAATAGTCTACTCAATCAGACATTTTGCTGTTCCCTGGGAGTGTATTTATACTGCAATTCCTCTTTGTAGAAGAAATATTTGAACCTCAAAGTTTGACTCTAGTATAGTGACTCAGAACTCCTTGCATCACGAGCAAGCCACCTTTTGGTGATTGGTACAGGTCAATTTTCAGACAAGTTCCAATTATCTGTCTGGAGTGCAGCAATCATATTACGCCTATGATCTAATGGAGCTTTACACACACTCCCAGACTGCAGGATATTAGTCTCTGTACATGTCTTTAAATCATCAGCACAGCTCAAAAGCTAGAGTAATTGATTTCCCAAGGTTGAGATTTTGTATGTATAAAGATTTTTTTTGATGCATACAAGAGCTTATTATTTCTTCTTTAGAGTATATATATATGACATAGCCAGTAGTTTAGACTAGATAGTACCTGTATATATGAATGGATCATTTGTGAGTGGTGTAGAGGAGACAAGTTGTGAGCTAAGGAGATTTTCACCCTGCCTGGAATTTCGTTTCCCGTCCATTCCCATCTGCATTTGCCACTCTCCACCCAGGTGTAGTATTTGGGTACCTGGTAGGAATTGATTCCTTGAACTCTTTGAGCTTCTTTAGTGCAGCTGGGCTAAAGCCAGGGTAATGATAGTACTTTGTAGGCGCCTTGAGCATCCCCTGGAATGGATATGTGGCTGTTATTATCATCTCTTTTAGTTGTGAAAAAGCAACCTCAAATAAAATCATGCTCGAATTCCCAGAAGGGAAATTTAAGAAAGGTTTGGGAATCATTGATTTGACCTACCTGGTAGGTTGAATACTCAGAAAAGGGCACCAATAAGGATAGGTCATAAGTATGTCAATGCATTCAAAGCAACTCGCTTTGATCTTCCATACTGTGGGACGCTGCAAGTTCATACCAGCTTGGAAATGTTGTGATAGAGTGGTTTGAACACCTGACTGAAGATGTGAAGGTCATTGGTTCAAGCCTGATGCGGCACTTGTGTCTCTTCCTCTTCTTCTTCTTCTCTTTTTCTTCTCCTTCTCTTCTTCTTTGTCTTCTTCCTCTTCTTCTCTTCTTCTCCTTCTTCTTCTTCTTCCTCTACTTCTTCTCCTCCTTTGTCTTCTTCTTTGTCTTCTTCTTCTTCCTATTCTTCTTCTCCTTTCTCTCTCTTCTCCTTCTCTCTTCTTTTTTGACTTCTTCCTCTTCTTCTTCTTCTTCTTCTTTTTTTCCACTCAATAGGGACTAAGGGTAAACAAATCTGCTGGTGAGGAACCCCTCCCCCTTATTAGTATGTCAATCAGTGTTCTCTGTAGTGCAATCTCTACACCCTCAAATCTCTCAAACTTTGCTCACGACACTCCTACTCCTCACATTTGCAAAAAAGAGAAAATATATGAATGAAATTGTGTATTATATCTGTATATTTCTTTGCTATAACTGAGTAATGATGATGATGAACGAAAAAAGATTTTAAATAGCACGTTAAAAATGTGGTTGAATCATAGGAAATGGTTTTACTTGATTTAAAATTGTATTATTATGATGTTTTATTACTCAGGTGTTATATTATTTCTTTGAATATGTTATTTTTTGTTGTTTAGATTTTACAAAATTTGCATGAATACCAAATATATCACACATCTAATACCACTTTTGTATATTCTTTTAATGGTAGCACAAGGGATTATATAACCAGCATTAAAAAATCATTCAAGTGGATCAGAGATATCTCAAGTAATTCATTCAAACAATGTTTTAGTTTTCTTTGATTGTTTCTTTCAAGAAAGTTGATTCCAAAATCTGTTAAAACACCCTGATAAAAGGGTGTAGTTCCACAGGATGCAACCACTTTACTCCTTTTTTAATTTATTGGAATGTTAGGCTTCCAGGGAGTAATTTCAATTTGTAAAGAAATTTGGCTTGCAGACTGATGAATATTAATAAGTCAGGAGAGCTGAGGTATTTGTTTCTAGATCATCGTGACTGTGCCATGGACCAGTGACGGCCTGGTGGTAGAGTCACTGCCCTGCAAGCAGTAGATTGCAGGTTCAAATCCCGCTGGGTCCAAGATTTCTTTGACTTGTTTTTCAATTACAAGGTCGAGCATGCAATCTCTATTTACTGGGTGCAAACCAAACATTTCATTAGATATATTTTTTATTTATTTGTGGTATTGGAGCATCAAACGCATCACCCAAACATTACAACGATGGTACATTTCATGAGAGATATTTTTGTTTAAAGATTAATATGCTATTCTAAAACTCAGGAGGAGAAATTGATTAAGTTCTTTTCACGGTTGAAACCTGTCCAATACATTCAATTGAAGCAGAAAAAATGTGAAAACAAGTGCAGTGAATAAATAATCAAGCAAAAATTATGAAGTTGGTTACCAAATTTTGTTATAAATTAAAAAAAATAAAGATGGTATCCAGGAATTTGGCCATATCTAAAGGAATATTACTATATATGTTGTTATGATTTAAGTATTTGATGTTTTTAGTTTTGAAACTATGCATCATTAACAAATATGTTTAATTGAATAGAAAGTATGGTACATAGATATCTATCCTTATCTTTGCTATTTTAAAGTTACTTTGTGAATAATATGATATTTTCTTGACATGCCTGCTATGGTTTTATCATTTATTCAATCATATTGACAGATAGTTTGTTCCTTTAATACTCTAGCTTGTTCCGTTTAACTTAGTTATTTACAAAGAAGACAGTGATTACTTGTGTTATATCATGGGGGAACATGTTGTAACCAGAGCCATCAATGTTACAGAGTATGGCCAACCTGGTATTAGTCCTGGGTACAATTAACAAAAGAATATGCCATGTTGTGACCAACTGAAACCAAGTTGGCCAAACTCTGTATGTAGATGGCTCCGGTTGTAATTGATAAGATAAGATATGGAATAAGATAAGATGTCCTAGAATGAGCTTGTAAATGTTGTCATGTTCTTCTGCAACTGGATATTAAGTAAGGATTGGAATGCTTATGATAAAAGGAAGTAGATACCACCTAGATCAGTAAACTCCTTTATTTTTCATTTAATAGGATACAGTTACAATGTTTTATAAGTTACTTCACTATAATCTAAATTGCACTGTAGTTCACAAGGTGATTCTCCTGTCATTCAGAGAGTAATTTGACTTGCAATTTCTTTTTACAGAAGTAATATTTGAAGCTGGTTTATTTAATGTCATGGAATCAAGAACATTGAGAGCAAAAACATGTAAGTGATATGTCCCCCTTTGATCAAATACTTTTGCTGGCTTTAGGGCTGTGATAATCATAATTATAGAGCTTTCGAATCATTCCAAACATATTTATATCATATGTGAGGGTTTAACATAAACAAAAAAGTTGCTTATCACAAAGAAAATTAACAAAGTATGTAGATTTTGTGGCATCCAATTGGGAAGTATATTTGTCAAAGTAATGAAGATTTTTATCAATATGGAAAGGAAAATATGAGGGATGTGAAATAAATATGAATATACTGTCTGTAAATATAAAGTGCTAACTCATAACTAATGACCCCTTTTCATCCTTTGAAATTCATTCACAATTTTGCGACTATAACCCTCTTGGATGATAATATATATTCACTTTTTTTTAAACCTGTTTTTTTTTCTTATAAAGCAACATGTTTGTATATAATGTAAAACATATATTACATATGATAATACTAATAATGTTGGCTTCTTATATATAGTGCACATGTCCGTCATATCGTGACGCTCCTGGCACTGCTGGACTCCCTCGAACTCCTCATCTAAGCATTCAAAAGCTCAGAAATAAATATATACAGTGAAACATCGTGTAATAGGGAGAATGGGGTTAGAAAAAGAATAACACAATATAACAAGTTAATATTGCCCATCTCACTTGTTTGTATACTGTTGTGGTGTTTGTTTCCTCTAACCTGATAAAAACAAGATTTCATGAAACAAGTCAAATTCCATGTTCCTTTTAAAAAGTAGATTGTTTTCATGGGATTCCAATTTAACTGATTTTCTGTTACCGCTTGTAAGATATTGATATGGATTGTGGTCCGTCTTCCTAGAAAAGAATTGTCCATGGCTGATTATCATATTCCCACTGAGTATAGTTGACGTTTTGGGGCTGACTATACGGTAAACTCTGCATAACTCAAAATGGCACAAATCGATCAAACTTGTTAGACCAAGCTATGCGAAACGTGTGTTATGTACACTTCGGAAGTTGAATTTTAAATAAGTCGAACAACTTTTGTGGTCCTAACAGATTTGGCGTATGCAGAGTTCACTGTACTTAGCACGTTTCATGGGAGCAGGTTCACACGGCCATTGGAATGATATGTATGAAGACCAAAGGAGTTTGTATGAGTTTGCATTGAGATGGGGAGGAAAAGAAACGTTTTCCATCAAGATGTACATGCAAGGATTACCTGTAGAGCGTGGAGAGATCGATGAAGAGGAATATGTGTTACTTCTTTATTTCTCAGTTATTAACCATGAAATTATTGTAGAATTTGTAGCATATGAACGAAGTGGATTCAACTGATGTGTCATGAGGGAATATAAAGAAAGAAATTAAAAAACAACTGCTATTAAATACTGATCGATACACTTTGAATAACCTCTTTTATTTAAGTGTTGTACATGATTAGTCATTATTCAGGAAAGTCAGGGATACTTTTATTTTCTCAAAAATGTCTCTTTCTGCCTCCCTTCTTCTCCTTTCTCTCTTTCTCTCTCTTTCTCTCTCTCTCTCTTTCTCTCACTCTCTCTCTCTCACTCTCTCTCTTTCTCTCTCTCTCTTTCTCTCTCTCTCTCTCTCTCTCTCTTTCTCTCTCTTTCTCTCACTCTCTTTCTCTCTCTCTCTTTCTCTCTCTCTTTCTCTCCCTCTCTCTTTCTCTCACTCTCTCTCTCACTCTCTCTCTCTCTCTCTCTCTCTCTCTCTCTTTCTCTCTCTCTCTCTCTCACTCTCTCTCTCTCTCTCTCTCTCTCTCTCTCTCTCTCTCTCTCTCTCATTCGCTCTTGCTCTGTTTATATCCGCCTATTTATCTGTCTGATCCCTATCTTATTTTATTTCATTTTTGGGGTTTTTTTTTCACGATGGAAAAAGCCTACTTGGATAATTCTAAATCAAATGTTTTTCTTTGACTTTGAGTTGATCCTACAAAGCAGTTTATTGCGGTCATTTCAAGATTCAAGATTTCTTTATTGATATTTCAACTGACATGAAAACATTCAGTAAAAACAGTAAAAACAAGTTCATCGTCAACAAGAATAAACTCATGAACAATAACAAAAAAGTTATAAAGACTTAGAAAATGTGGAAAAGAGGTGCATGGTCTGTAAAAAAGCACAGCTTGTTAAACAGATCACCTTTACAATTACAGGAACAAAAATATTTAAAAAGAAGTAGATTAATAATAAAATAGAATAGAAATAGAAATTTAAAAAATGTAAATGGGGAAGGTGAATAAATGTACAATACTGGGTGGGGGACTAACAAGACTAATCTAGTTAAATATACTGAATATATATATATATAAATGAATATCAGATCTATCGCTAATTTATAGAATATGGTACGTAGATTAAAAAAGAAGCAGAATAATGATGATTAAATATAGAATCCATTTAAATCGATCAAGAATGTTTGAGAGATGGGGAAGGGCCAGAGGGGGAGGAAAAAAAGAGAGCGAGCCGGGGGGGGGGGGGGGGGGGGGGGGGGGGGGGTCACTAGATTGTCTGATTTTTTTATACATAAAAGTGCAGGATGGCCCTAATTGTTTGAATTGCTTATGACCACAAATGCATTTACAGTCTGATGTAGAGACTACTTCCATGTTTACATTGGGAAAGACATTAGACAGGCACTGCACCGTTGCCGATATTGTTTGCTGTCTTAGACGGGA